TACAGTACAGGATTAAATGTAGTGTGACACCACTAAAGTGTCACCCTAACTACCATGGCTCAACCACATGGAGTCCTGGGATTTGGAATTTTGCAAGGCACTCCGTGCCAGAGAAGGCTAAAGACTTTGTAAAACCACCCAGAACCCAACTGGCAACCAACACCCAGAGGACCTTTTCATCAGCCACCCCCAAGGCAAAGTGCAAAGTGTTGATTTTGACCTTTAAAGCCCTACATGGTTTTGGTCCAGGTTATTAAAGGATTGCCTCCTCACATGCAACCCACCCCACACACTTTAGTCTTCTGGGGGGCTTCAGCCAGCCAGGACCCGACTGGCAACCACCACTCAGAGAACTTTTTCATCAGCCGCTCCAAAGACTGTGGACAACCTGCAGCTAGAGCTCTGACAGCTAGACCAGCTGTCAGAATTTAAAAACCATGTAGACCTATCTCTTCAGGCAGGCCTACACAGACAGTCTTTAAGCATGACTTTTAAGTGTCCTGTTTGATCTGCTTTGTGTATTTTAATATGTATTTTGTACAGATAAGTTTTGGTGTGTAGTTTTTATGGAGGTACATTTAGTGTGTGTATTTTGTAGAGAGGGCGGTAAGAAATAAAATTATTATTATTATTATTATTATTATTATTATTATTATTTATTAAAACTACAGCTCCCATATGGCTATAGTATTGAGCCATGGCAGTTAAAAGTGGTGGGTCAAACATTAGTTTTACACTGCAGGACTAAGATAAGGCAATGGGAAAACCCATTTGGCTAAATTTTGATAAGGAACTCCCCTTATAGGGTTGCCATAAGTTGGAAATGATTTCAAGGCACATCATAAAAATGCAATAATATATTTTAAATGTCCTATGTGTTCCACAGTTTTGAACTATGGTGGTGAACTATATTGAGTCTCTGTGTTGATGGAGGTTTTCATGGTCGGAATCACTGGGTTGCTATGAGTTTTCCAGATTGTATAGCCATCCATGTTCCAGAAACAGTCTGTCCTGACATTTCATCCACATCTATGGCAGGCATCCTCAGAGGCAAGTGAGGTTTATATATCTGTGGAATGTCCAGGGTGGGAGAAAAAACTCTTGACTCTTTCAGGTAGGTGTGAATGTTGCAACTGGCAACCTTGATTAGTATTTAATGGCCTTGAAGCTTCAACACCTGGCTGGTTGCTGCCTGGTGGAATCTTTCACTGGGAGTTAACTGGCCCTGATTGATTCATGTCTGGTTTTCTCCTGCTTTTTGAGTGTTGCTCTTTATTTGCTATCCTGATTTTAGAGGGTGTTTCTTTTAATACTGGTAGCCAGATTTTGTTCATCTCCTCCCATAAAGGATTCCCCCAAGCAGCAATCATCCAAGCTGCAAGGCCATTCAATACTAATCAAGGTGGCCAATTGCAACATTCACACTTGCCTCAGGAAGACAAGAGTTCTTTCTCCCACTCTGGACATTCCACAGATGTATAAACCCCACTTGCCTAGTTCCCAACGGACCTCTCAACGTCTGAGGATGCCAGCCATAGATGTGGGTGAATCGTCAGGACAGGCTGCTTCTGGAAAATAGCCATACAGCCCGGTAAACATACAGCAGCCAGGTGTTTTCATTCTGTGGCTGATTTTTCTAGCTCTATGGGCTGCTGCTGGCGGAAGTGAGCCTTCAATGAGGCTTCCACGCCTGCGATTCGATGCCATTGAGAGGCAGTGCGCATGCGTGCTTCCTCCCCGACAGAGCGGGCCTGGCGTGGCGGGCGAGGGGCGGATGTCGGCGCCGTTCGAGGAGCGGAGCGGGCTGGTCCCGTGCGCCACTCCCTGGGGCCGCTGGTACCAGACCATGGAGGAGGTCTTCGTGGAGGTGGACGTGCCGCCGGGGACCCGCGCCAAGGCGGTTCAGTGCAGCCTCCAGAGCCGCAGCCTCTCGCTGGTCGTGGCCGGGAAGGAGGTGCTCAAGGTAGGCGGTGCGAGTGGAGACGCGGCTCCTTTAACGGCCGCGGCCCGAGGCTAGGGCATTGTGGGAGTTGTAGTCAGCTGGGGCAGCGGCACGCATGGGCAGAGGCGGCGAAAGGCTTTGTGGAACTACAACCCCCAAGAGCATTGAGCCATGGCTTTCGAGTGTCATTCACTCTACACTCTGAAGCTTACTTAACTCCCATGTAGGTCAGATAGGAAGGAAGCTTCTTGCCTCCGATATACTTTTCCCCCCTCCAATCTTTTTTAGGTTTTTTGTCTTCTCCAAGCTTTCCTGTACTTCATCTTTGCTTCTAATATTTTATTTCTATCCCGCCCCTGTCTCATAGAGGGGACTCAGGGTGGTTCCCAACAAAAGAATGGCACACGTTCAATGCCGGAACAAACCAACAAAAACAAATAACCCAAATCCCAGAATTAGGTGCCTTTAATGTATTTTGGGGGTGCTCAGCTCTAAAAATAATAATAAAAATGTAAGTTATTTCGCAAATTCAAAATTTTTTATCAGCTCTGCTTTCACTCAGTTTTGATTAAGAATAATTTCTTTTACTTCATGCTGAGCATCCCTTTTCTGTGAAGTTGATAATGTGTTATAGTTTTGTGTTATATGTGGATTTATTTCTTGGATTTGGATTGTCCCCTCTGGGAGGTAGGTGCGATATATAAATAAAGCATCATCATAATCATCATCATTATTTGAATCACAACAAGATGAGTCCACAGCAGACACTGCTGGCTGTTGAATTGGATCACACTTCGGACACTTCCCAAATAATGCGTGCAGATCCCAGTAAGGTGGTAATTTTGTCAGCGCCGATTGTGTTTAAGTGCAGGCCAAGGTCTGCTTTGTGAAACCACTGGGACCACCTTGACTGGCTTGTGCCAGAGTCTTTGCAGTTCGATCTTTAAATCCTCATATCATGTCAGCTTTTCCAGTTGTTTCTCTGCAATCCTGCTGTCACTTAGGATTGCAACATCGACGATCCATACTTTGTTTTTTAACACGATTGTGAGGTCAGGAGCATTATGCTCCAAAACTCTGTCTGTCTGAATCCGGAAGTCCCAGAGGAGTTTGGCGTATTCATTCTCTGTAACCTTTCCTGGCTTGTGATCGCACCAGTTCTTTGTTGCATTATTATTATTATTATTATTATTATTATTATTATTATTATTATTATTATTATTACAAAGGCATAGCGGAGGTATTGACACCTTTCTGCATTTTAGTCTGCATGTTACCAATGGATTTTAACTTGTAATTGCTTTGTGTTGTGTTGTATGTCTTTCAGTTCTTTATCTCTTGTTTTAATGATGTTGTATTCCACCTTAAGCTGCAGGGAGGGGTTGATGATAAATTCATTATTATTATTATTATTTCTGAGGTTTGGTGCTTTATTGTTTATTCGTTCAGTCGCTTCCGACTCTTCGTGACCTCATGGACCAGGCCACGCCAGAGCTCCCTGTCAGCCGTCACCACCCCCAGCTCCTTCAAGGTCAAGCCAGTCACTTCAAGGATACCATCCATCCATCTTGCCCTTGGTTGCCCCCTCTTCCCTTTTCCTTCCCTTTTCCCCAGCATCATTGTCTTCTCTAAGCTTTCCTTCTCAAAGTACTCCATCTTTGCCTCTAATATCCTTCACAAACTTTATTTTATGCTCAAAATTATGAAAACTATAGTGGATAACAACCTGAAAAAATCCAGACTCCAGCACACTTCTGGTCCCATGCGTTTTGGATACTCAACATGTTGTTTCATATAGATGTTTGTGTTTCATATCAGTGAACTAAAGTTTTTTTGAAAATCTATTAGAAAACTTCAAATTGCTCTTTACTCCCCCAAGAAATCATACTCAGCCACAAAATAAAAATGTCAAAACAAGTACTGGTAGTTAAAAAGCTGCACGTGATGGATCATGTCTGAGATCATGTTTGGATTTAGAATACCAAATTTCTTTTTTTAATGTATACATTTCTTAGAAATTTTTATAACCCTCAGTTTTGCAGGCTTGCATTATTAGTTATTGCTTCTACCAATTGCATTCAGTTCTTTTCGGTGTCAAACGTATTGTCATCCAGTTAATGTTTTCACATTTTGTCCTTTGTCTGGCACAGATTCTGGTATTTTTGACAGGACATTGAGGTTTTCTTCTACTTTTAATATTGAAGAAAATAAAATTATAGAACATCTGCATGTCATCAGATTGATCTTGAAGTACAATGGCAATCATGGGAATGTATTGTCGAAGGCTTTCATGGCTGGAATCACTCAGTTCTTGTGGGGTTTTTTCGGGCTGTATGGCCATGTTCTAGAGGCATTTCTCCTTACGTTTCGCCTGCATCTATGAGGGGGAACGTCAAGAGAAATGCCTCTAGAACATGGCCATACAGCCCGAAAAAAACCCACAAGAACTGAATCATGGGAATATTGGGTTGGGATCCAGAGTGTTTTTTGGTAATTCAGTCTGACACATCAGTAGAATTAATGCAGTATTACATTATTTTATCTGCCATGGTTCAGTGTTAAGGAAACCTGGGAGTTTTACAATGTCTTTAGCCTTCTCTGCCAGAGCATCCTGTTGCCCCATCCAACTACAAATCCCATGAATCCAGAGCATTGAGCCATGACAATTAAAGTTCAGTCACATTGCTTTAATTCTACCATGTAGATGCACCCCAAGTTGAAGAAGGTATACTTCCCTTGGTAAGCTGTTTTGGGTATGTCATGATTCTTTAAACAGGGATGGTCTCAGAAATTTAGTTTTTATCTTAGGGCCCTTCCAGACAGGCTCTATATCCCAGGATCTGATCTCAGGTTTTCTGCTTTAAACTGGATTATATGAGTCCACACTGCCAGATATTCTGGGAAAACGGAAACCTGGGATCCGATCCTGGGATATAGGGCCTGTCTAGATGGGCCCTTATATTCATATTTTGGCATAATCTTTCCATAAAAGTCTGTGTTGTCTGTGTACAGGTTCTTCCTTGCCTCTTAACTTTTGCAACATAACCCTACTTATATTCCTTTCTACATTCCTCATGTATAAAGGAACAGCTGCCTACTTTTATAACACATGGATCTAGATGATCAAATGATTTGAAAGATAATACCTCCATTTGCCTAGAAAGAGTGCAAATACATGTGAAACATATGGTTGAAGCTCATAGTTGCAATATTTGGTTGTTATAAATATATTGAAATCCTTGCAAACTAGAGAATTACACAGCTGTACGATACCCACTGACATTTTTAAAGCATGTTCTGTTGACTGCAGTGATAATCATTTATTACTTTAGGTTCAAAAACTAGCAATATTTTTATAGGGATGAATTTGAGAAATTTGAAGATATTAAGCAAATAAGACTTGCTTTTGTAATATGGATCATGCTGATTTTTTGAAGAAAAAAATGATATTTATTTCAGGGTAAACTCTTTGATTCTACAATAGCGGATGAAGCAACATGGACACTAGGTAAAACTTTTTTCAGTGAACTTTGCAAAAGTCAGTTTAAACTTCTGGTTGATGTTTTTCTTATGTTTTAATAATGAAAACCTTACTGTGATTTGATCTTCAGGAGGATTTCCATAGAACTCAGCAGAGTTCAATAATTAATTCCTGCTCCTTTCATTCCTCAGGCAGTCCTTTAGAAACAAAATCTGCACTTATATCCAGCCGATATAAAGAGTTCTTGTCTATGTTCCGTTATGGTTTTGAGAGCATAGAAAAGCATAGAAAAGAGGCTGAATAGCATATGGCAAGTATATAGAGGCCTCTCGTTCCTATAAAAACCTATTTTACTGCTTGGAATCAGAGGTGTGTGTTATTAAGTCTGCATGGGGCATGATTGCCAGCTCTTTTGTTAGACCCTTGTAGACATGATGTTCATTTTCAAGATGCCACTTAGTAAAAAAAAAAAGCTTGTTTTATATGCAAGAGTCAACTAAAAGTATCTAAGTCCACATAATAGAGTTCTTTATAGTAGGGTGAATAAGTGAAGCAAAACCAAATATCTTAAAGAAGTATACTTATTAAAGTATTATCTACACAGTTAAAACCTATGATAACTAAGTTGAGATAGTTTTTTGTTGACTATTTTAAAAAACAGTTCTATATGTTGGAGAGGGGAGGAGTTGTCAGTTGTGTGTAAGTGATCATTTTTGTTTTTCCTATTCTCATGTAAAGAGGACCAGAAACTAATACGGATCATCTTAACAAAAACTAACCGTGATGCTGGAAATTGTTGGCGTTCTTTGCTAGAGAATGAATATGCTGCTGATCCTTGGGTCCAGGACCAAATGCAGAGGAAACTTACTCTGGAGAGGTTCCAGAGAGAGGTGAGTCCATGGACATCAGTTAAAATTATATTGAAGCCATATTATCAGGAAAGTTACACATTTAAATTTCTTTTCTTTATCCTTCCAAATCTTTCATCACCCAACACAGTGAATTTAATTGAATTATATGTTAGTTTGAAATATCTATTCAAACACTTGAAAGCACTACCTTAAAATGCCACATTAATAAAAACATTAATATCAGCACCTCCAATTATTATTATTATTATTATTATTATTATTATTATTATTGCTGCTACTATAAAGGCAGTTGGAAGGTGGTTAGCTCATTCACACTGGAAATATTCTGTATTCTGGGAGCAGCCTGTCATATTACAACAATAGAATTATGCACTGCTATAAAACAAGTTATTATTACGAATATTGATTTACTTACATATCTGCTGTTGCAGCAGCTCCACTGGCTGCCAGTCTGTTTCTGGGCAGAATTCAAAGCTCTGGTTATGTCATTTAAAGTCCTAGACCAGTGGTTCTTAACCTGTGGGTCCTTGGGTGTTTTGGCCTACAGTTCCCAGAAATCCCAGCCAGTTTACCAGCTGTTAGAATTTTTGGGAGTTGAAGGCCAAAACATCTAAGGACCCACAGGTTGAGAACCACTGCTAGATGGTTCAGGTCCAGACTATATGGCTGACTACATTCCCTTGTACGAACCTGCCTGGACCTTGAGATCTTCAGGAGAGGCCCTTCTCTTTGTCCCACCTCTATCTCAAGCTTAGTTGGTGAGAACGAGAGAGTAGGCCTTCATTCTCGGTGGCCGCCCCTCTGGAACTCCCTTCTTCCCAGGGAAGCCTGAATGGCCCACTCCCTGCTGTCCTTCCTTTTTATTCAGGCAGGTTTTTTAAGAAGAAGGTTTTTAAGATCATGTCAGGGACTGTTGTGGTTTTATATGGTTTTTTTCCGATTTAATCTGAATTGTTTTAATACTAATGATATTTAAAACTGTCTTTATATTTCTATATTTGAAATTGTATTGTAATGTCTTTAATGTTAGCAACTTTGAGTCTTTTTACGGAGAGAAAAAGCGAGATATAAATCAACATAATCACCATCATCAACATCATCTCTGGCTTTACAGAATGAATAGATGCTTTTTCACACTTTACTCACATATATGTGGGTCTGCACCCCACATTTTGTGCCCTTCCTGACCCCTCCACAGATATATCTGCATTAGCATGACCACCTGCAAAGAAAAAGTCTACTGTGAACGGTTACTTGTGAATATGTTGCTACATGATTGGGACAATATATTTTCTTTGCAGAAAGTGTGTTTGGGATACAACTTTTGTTTCAGATTATATGTTTCTGTAATTAATTTGCCCCAAATTTCCCAATATCCTGGCTTTTCTTTATTTCCTTGGCTTGTTGTGCAACTTGGAATTTATCAGAATGTTCAATTTATATTCCAATCAATTGTGTGGAATTTTCCTATTTTGATAACTGGACTCTGGGATCAAGTTTAATTGAACTCAGTGAAGTTGGATTCTGCATAGTTGTGTGTAGAGGCCTGCTATATATGACTGAAGATTCAGAATTTTTGATGGTGGCTTACACTAGGAATGGTGGTCTTTTATCAAAGACATTGAAGGTGGTTTTATAATTTAGTTTATGAAAAACAAAATATGAAACAATGGGGAAATAAAAAGTGGTGCTTGTTCTTCTTGAAAATAATTATATTCATTGTTGAGATGTATCACTCTTGAGTGGCATTATGCACTATTTCTGTTCTACAGGTGTAAAATCACAACTATCTTCTTTAATGTCATGTAAGGAGGCCTATAGAACAGCATTGCTTTTGAAAAGGATTGCAAGTCAATTCTAAATATGTGCTTCCACAAGAAATCTAAATCAAATCTGTCTCTTTTGCAGAACCCTGGGTTTGACTTCAGTGGAGCTGAAATTTCAGGGAACTATAGCAAAGGAGGGCCAGACTTCTCCAGCTTTGAAAGATAACTTGATGCCTTTGACTGTATTCCTAGAACTAAAACAAACAGAGGCTGCAAAGAAATATATTGTGCTGAACAAGAATTCATCTGTGAGACTAACATTGGGCATGGATTTTTTGTTATTCTCAACAGCTTTAAATCACAACATGAGAAAGGCATTTATTTAACATGTGCTTGCACAGTAATGAAAAATAAACACTGACGTATATATATACAAATCAGTGCTATTTGTATAATAAATGTTTACCAAGATGAAGGACACATTTTCAACTGAAGTAATAAAACAATCTGGTAAGAATTTAATTGCTTTTTGATAAGCCAGCAAGAAGTTCTTTTAGAAGAATCACAAAGAACTACATCCCTTGAAAAGGAGGGTACTATTTCCTAAACACTTCTGAGTTTCATGTGTGGCAAGTAATTAAACCGAATTTTGAAGGGACAACAGTGTTTCTCTGCAGATGTACTTAACTGTGGCATAAAGGCACATTCTTTTAAAAGGCTACATAGTTTTTTTAAAAAAATGATTTGCCATCCTATTCAAACTCACTTTTATTCACGAGAAAGGACTCTTACAGATGCCATGATGCTAAGTTTAACTGGCATGATAATTTTGTGCCATGTCACACTGTGAGCATCATGGATTTTTTAAAAAAACCAACAGGTTGGGCATAATGGTGTTCATCTAGACCGTTCTAGGGAAAGGCCAGGTGTTTTTGAACTACATGTACCATAACTCTCAAGCATTAGCAGTTATTCTTAGCACCGATGAGCGTTACTGTCTGAAATCAACTGAAAGCGTGTGGAGTTTCAAAAACAGCCATGTTTTTTCTTAATGCGTTTGTTTGTGAAATATTGGTCTAAATCAAGCCATCTTGAGTATGTGGAACTTGGTCTGCTTTATTCTAATTACAGTGACTCTCAACATTTGTGGGCTTCATTTTTGCAGAATTGATTATTTCATTTTTTGGTCAGCATCCAGCAGAAGTTGGCCATAGTGTTGCATTGAAGGACTTAATGATTCCCAAAGAGGTGTTCTTTCAGGTAGAAAATGGTATTTTATTAATTTTTGGATTTTTCACTTTTGATGTGAATGAGGAGGACTGGCTGTACTTGAATTCATTGGTACTAGGAGGCCGGTAAAATTAATCATTTGGTTCTTTAAAAAGGAAAAAAAACTCTTTATATAAACATAAGTATGAAATATTTCCTAGGCAGTTAGGAAATGTTTGATTGTAACTTAATTATAACAAATTGTAGGTACAAACATGTTTTTTAACTCAAATTTCAGTTGTACAGTATTTGTAAATACACACAATTAACTGAATAAATTTCAATTATAGTTTGCCTGTTTTCTTCCTTAACCATGCATTTTTATGTCTATAAATATTGTGTCTTTTAACAGACACTTGTGTTTGCCTAAGGGAAGAGCCTCCATTTTCCATGTTTGAAAAAACATTGCTTAAAACTTGTTACAATTGATTGGTTAATAGTAGTTTAAACCAAGCATTAATTCTTCCAGAAATTCAATGCCGCTATTTTTACCACTGAGACAGAAAACTGGAGTGTTTATATATAAATAATCAAACTGCCTTCAGAAATTTGTTGGGGGAAAGGAGGTTGCTGAAACAAACAACCTTTATGGAACAAAAGAGACTGGAAATTATGAGAGTTGTGGGGAAACCTTATGTTGATTTAAAAGTAGTGATTGTAAAAAATAGAGCTGCACAGTTGAAAATAGAATAGAATTTTCAACTGTGATTCATATTTTGTATTTTTACTGAGAAAATGTATCATTAATGTGACTGATATTTTTGACAATGGGAAAGCTATCCTGCTTATTTCAGTCAATGTGCTATGCAGCAGAAGTGGCCAGGGAATGCTTTACAATATTTTAGTTTAATTCTATTATAGGAGAACAACAGAAAGACATACTCACTGAAAGCCAGATATGTAGGGAGCAAAACCCAGATCTGTTTAAATGATAGATGTCATGTGGCTAAACATGACTTGAGTAATTCTCAGCAGCAATATTTGGTAAGCTGAAATCCACAAACAAAAAAAGGAGGTGCAGAAATGAAAGTATTTACCGTTATTCCTTCTAGGCAGCCTTATTGATGGAATGAAGGATAGTTATAATACAGTGGGCTCAGATTTCACTCACTGTTCTTTTAAACTGCAATGGCCTAGTCAGTCTTGGAAGTTAAGGAATCAAGTAAGTTGTAATGTAAGTTCCTACCAACAGCAAAAGCGCAACTTCTCTTTAGAACAGGATGAGGGTTGTAGCTGCATTTGCTGTGTGAGGAATGAACCATTGGAAGTTGCAGTGCAACATCTGGTCTGCCATCCCTTGTAGAGGTAAAGTAGCCATTTACATTCAAGAAAACAGAATTGCATCTAAAATTCCTGTATCAGCCTTATATTGCTGATTCTTCAAATCTGCTTTGACCCTGCAAAATCTGTCCTAGACCTTTAGAAAATTGATTATTTCTCCTGCTTCCCTTTAAAGATGGGTTCATCCATCTACTTTGATCTTGAGAATGACTAGGATTTGTGTTTTCCCCATTCCTTTACAGTAACAAGGAAACGGTTGTAGACACTGGCACGATGCCAGTTTATAACGCCAATGTTACTACAAGAGCAGAGAAGCAAAAGGCTTGGTCTTTATAGAAAATGAGTCAGATTTTCTTTTTAATGTCAAATTCGATTGAAACAGTATAAAGCCACATATACTAAGTTGTTCTAGTTTTTCACAACAGCTGCAATGTGAAATCAAATTGTTTTGAGCATCCTGTCTTACATTTGAATCTGAATGCTTTGTGTCCAGTGGAAAAACGTAGTACCAATACAACAGTTAAGAGTCTCTGATGCTAGGTCTCATCTTTGCTACTTGTGAAGACAGTACTAGAGTATGAAGAATAGTGGTGTCGTCCACTGGCTTCTCTTAGAAAATATAGATAAAATGTCTAATTCCAATAACATCTTACAATGTGTTTTTTAAAGCTGATGTTTATAAAAATGAGGCAAACCAATTCATACAATTTCATTTCAAGGTTTTATTGAAAGGTGCACTTGTTGCTTACAAAATACAATGACACTTTTGATAATTACAACACTTTTCCTTTCACACTGAATGCTTCCTTTTGCATTCTCATTCTCTCCCAATCTATGTACAGATGGCAAAGGCACAATAGAAAGTTTTAACAAGTACGGTCACTTACAAACCCAAACTAGCTGCAGGAAACATCCTACCAGTTTGTTTTAACAAGCAGGCTGTAATGAGGTAGAAGTGTAAAGGCATGCTGGATTACACCTAGGTCAGTGGTTCCCAGTCTTTGTCCTCCTGGACTTCAGCTCCCACAATTTCTTAACAGCTGGTAAATTAGCTGTGATTTCTGGGAGCTGGAAGTCCAAAACACCTGGGGGGCAAAAGGTTGGGAAACACCTAGATGAACAAGGAGTCATTGCATCTGTTTATTTGTCAATATTACAGTAATTCTGCTTAGTATCTCTGGATCCTTCCATACAGATCCAATTGTAGTCCATCACATTGAATTCTGGGGCTTTTTGGTTGAAAGCATCAGAAGACCTCTTAGCTGCGAACGCTTCAATGCCCCTTCCTAAACTGCAAATCCCAGGATTTCATAGGTTGCCATGGTGCTTAAGGTGGGATGATAGCGCTATAATTAGAAAGTGGGGAAAGACCCTCAGTCACAAGTGAGATGTAGTAAAAGTAAATGAGAAAGTCTTAAAAGTGTTGAGAGTGTTACACCATTTTTCCAGAGGTTTTCAGCTGGTCAGGTTAGCATAACGGAGAATTGCCTATACAAGAACTGAGATGATACGACACATTTAAACACAGGTAAGTTAATGTAATACTGTTTCAATGTTCAGATAATCACAATGCTAACTCTAGCTTCCCCAGATCAGCATTCAACCCAAGTTAAAAATGGACTGGTTCAAGAAGAAAGAAATCTTGGCGATGTTTAATTTGCATCTAAAAGCATTTTCTGGTAGAACTTCCTTCACAATTATGGTTGCAGCATACAATTTACTATCAACTAGGAACATTTTTGAACTGAAAACTGGCGTTCCATTAGTTATACTTTCTGTGAGGTGCACTACTAAAATCAGTGATTAAAAAAAAAACCCAATTTAGCCTAATGGCTTACTACAAATCATTAAACTGCTGCCTAAAAGCCACTACCATGTTTGCAAAAATGTGCTGTGGGGAAAATATTAGATTACCTCTACCACTTTCAGCTGCAAAGGCTTTGAGGTAATTATAGCCTCATGCAAACCAGGATTAGATCCTAATTAAGCTAGCCCAAGAAAAGGCCTGCTGAAATTAGTGAGACTGAAGTCCAGTCACAACTAACTTGACCCAGTGTTTTCAATGACAACTCAAATTACTTTAGATTGAACCTGGAATGTGCAGTTACTGAGTTTCTATATATACATATATCTCCCAGCCCAGATTGTATCATCTATCTGTTTCTATTTTAAGATGCTGCCAACACTCTCAACTGGTGTGTGCCCTACAATCTTAACTAAGCTTATTTTTGTCTAGTTTCTTTATAAAAGAACTAATTGTACTTGCAAAGAGTTTTGTTTTGCTAGAATTTGGAAGAGATTGTGTCTTCTGATATTACATAAAGAATGCTTAAGATTTTAATATATTAGTGTTGTGTAAAAACACTACATATATTTGAACATTTCATTTTAGCTGATGTGATCTTATTCAATGCTGATATAGAAGTTGAATAATAGTTTCAAACTTCTATAGCACATAATTGACCCAAGCAACTATAGCATTCTGCATAAAGTAGATTTTTTTGGCTGTCTTCTAACATTTATTTTTAAATACTGTGGGGCCTAGAACGCTAGGACTTCTCTAACCTCTAATGTACTCTGTACACACTTTTATATTGCACTAGTCCACATCTATATTACCATGTCAGATTGCGCTCATCCATTTTCAGCCAATAACTAGTTCATAAGGTGCTGTATAAAGCAATAACTAGTTCATAAGGTGCTGTATAAAGCAGAAATGTTTTGAACCAAACAAATTATTTGGTAGGTCAGCATGAAACACTGGACTAGCTGCCATATCTATGTCTGAGATTGAAGAATCATTCTGTTTGTCTTCAATGTCTTCATTTGAAATCCCAAGGGGGAATAAAAACAGTCTTGCTTGAGTGTGCAGTAGAGCCTTATGAGTCAAAGGCACTCAATACGTGGTGACAGTTAATGGTCAGTTGCATCCAATATGGTCTGCTTTAAATAAGATCTTAGCCCTCAAGGTTGCACCCATGTTGGCAGTCAGTGATGCCTCTTTTCTTCTTCAGGCCTGTCACTAGCCAAAAAGAAAAAGAAAACTGTCATTACAAGTACTTATTTACACAATATCACTTACTAGACATATATAAATTTTAAGATAAAATGCTACAGCACAAAATTATCTGCACAACCTTTTCTGCAATTTTATTCATTCTGGACAACTTTTTTTTCTCTACGTCCAGTTGATCATTCCCACCAGACTTCCCAATCTTTTGGACTTCAATTCTTACTGGCCTCAACATGATGACTGGTCAGAAAAGCTGAGAATTGTAGTTCAAAATATCTGGAGGTCACCAAACTAAGATGGGCAGGGATGGGCTGCATTTCCTTTTATGCTAAAATATTACCCAATGTCTTACAAAAGTGCAATTGGTATATTATGCAAAAGCATAAGCAGGGGTTCTTCTCAAATTGTAGCTCATTCCATCTTACAGGCTAAGGACAGTTAAGGATTCTACAGAAATCATGAACAGCATGCCTCTGAAGAGGGCTCTTGTATGCTATGGTCCAAATCACAAAGCATAATTTTGAAAAATCACTCACCTTTTAGAGACCACTTTCAGGGATAGTAGGAAGATGGGTTATTCTATAGTAGCTGTGCTTGAGCTGCCTTGCTGTGCGACCAGACACTATCCACTTCAACTTCTGAACATTTGGTTTTGAGCACTTGCTTGAGGAATACTCTGAGAGGCACTTTGAGACAAGTTCCTTCCAAAGGGAGAGCTCTCTGCCGCTTATCTTGAAGGCAAATGTGAAAATCAAGGTCAGTCAATGGCACATACAAAAACACCAGGAGGAAACATGCTGACAGCTATATGCATGCCTATCCTTATAATACAAACTAGGCAGTCCTTTTAGTTGATACCAGCAATGTAACTGGCAGGTGATAATATACACATTTATACTCAGCAAGCTTTCTAGGCCACCCTGTGCATATCAAGCTGCTACATATTTGATGTCCTTACTCAAATAGCGTTACTGGCCCTAAGAAATGTCTGAACAAGTTATTGCAAACATACTTTCAGCCTAAAGTAGTATTATATCTTGAAATATTATCTCCAAAGTACAACTCTTTTGAGCAAACAGGAACCACATGATTTGTGAAATACTCTAGAGATCAGTACCCATTTCATGTTAACTAACAAACCATTCTACAAGCAGTAAATATTTCCAGAAGAGTTGAATGGTCTCATAGATGGTTTAGTGCTTAGGGACGTGCAACACAAAACAGTTTGATATTAGGAAGCCCTATTGCATTGCAAGTATTCAGCGAGGTACTGATTTTTGTTTTAGGCTGTAAAGGAAAGGAAAGCTGTGGAGAGACATGAAGGAAAGGAAAAAGGGGTAGAGATACAAACACGTCTTGGCTGAGCATTACAATTTCCTGGAAGGGAGGGAGAGGATAGGCCTGTTCATAATTAGGAGTTGTATGTAATATTGGATGTTCATAACTGGTGGTTTGCCTATAATCGAAATTATGCTGTATAAATGCAAGTGAAATCTTAGCAAATTAGGAGACAAAACTCCACATTCTAATATATCAGAACGTTAAAAAATGTGTGCCACAACACATTAGTGTGTTGTGCAAACATAATGAGAAACCTCTGAGTAGCAGTTACACATTTTTGTAAAAAAAAATCTTGCATAGACTTATGCTACTCATAAATGACAAAAGTCTTGGAAATATATGTCATCTCTCTTTCTCACACACAGACATATATATGAAAGATTTTCATGAAATATATTGTATCCACACAAAAACATCTAATTATTACAATTTATGTTTCTATATCTTATTAGGGATTGGTTTGACCTCTGGTTTGCTAGTAAAACTGAATTACTGTGTTGTAAAATAATGTGTGTCTAAAAAGTGTGTCACCAACATGAAGTGTTTGGAAAACTATAATAGATGATCACTTGCTTCCTTTGTTTTAAAAGGCTTCATGTGTTTTGGCCACAAAGTCAGCTTTTTTCAGTCACTGCACTGTCAAGAAACACACAGAGGTTTTTAACAAAAGGAAGCTTTCCAGCAGAAGAAAATATTTTCTGAAGTTGCAAAACAGTAATTTTGAGGATGATGAAACTATCAAAGTGATGCAATCTTACATCATTTTTCGATGTAGCCTACCTTGGAATGTGTTCGGAGACTTTCCATCATTTCCACCAGCTCCAGCAGTTTTTCTTCTTCAACTTCCAGGGCCATTATTGAAAGAGCCAATACTGACGGCTGAGGAAGAACAGACAGTGCAATTGAAATTAAATGATTAACCAGTTCTGTCAAGCTCTGGCAGAATTTCTGAAAGGGCTGATCGGGATTCTTACCTTTGCTTTAGAAAGAACAAGCCTGCAGTGGCATGCCTTCAGCTGGGCTTCCAGTCTCTCTAAGTTAAGGTGACTTTTCCTGTGAGAAAAACATGGCCTGGTTCAATGGTTTGCAAGAATAGGGTACCTTTGATCACTTTAGAACTAATTCACTGAATCAGATCTCCAAGTAGCCATCAGGATTTTCAATATGCGCCCTAATATTACAGTTATGAAGTAGCAACATAAATCATTTTATGGTTCAGGGGTCACCACAATATGAGGAACTGTATTAAGAGGTTGTGGTATTAGGAAGATTGAGAAACGCTGCCCTAAATAGTTCTGGCCTAATTTACCTGTCAGAGCATCTCTCTCCCTATGAACCAAGCTAGAGTGTTAAGATCTGCCAGGGAGGCCCTACTCTTGGTCCCACCTGCATCGCAAGTGCAACTGGTGGGGACGAAAGATAGGGACTTCTCAGTGGTGGCCCCTCAGTTGTAGAATTCCCTTCCCAGTAACATTAGACTGGCCCCCTCCCTCCTGGTATTCAGGAAAAAGTTTAAAGACCTGGCTATAGCACCAGGCATTTGAGGAATAGTGCAATATGGAATGTGACACAAATGTAGCAGCACTAACTATGACTATTGGTCTAGGCACTATGTTTTAATCTGCTTCAATTGTATTTATATGTTTTTATTGCTCCATATGTTTATTTGTTTATTTGTAATACGGCATAAAATTTTGGCATAGCTGTAAGTCACTCTGAGTCCCCTTTGGGTGATAAGAGCAGGGTAAAAGTATAGTAAATAAATAAATAAATACTTTTTTGCTGTCTGCAGAATTTAGCCATTTTGACTTTTGACTTGCAGAAGGTATTTGGGAACTTAAAAAATCACCAATAACCCAAAGTTAAAAATCAGATAGCAAAAAATCTTGCCTCATTTTGCCTCATTTCCTGGTTTTATATCTAGTTAAATTGCAACAATGTATATTAGCAATATAACACATGGAAATTGTTCTCCAGTTCCATGCTTTCCAACTTCCTTAAAGTAATAGCTAATACTTGATTCATTCTAAAAGAGAGACTGTACCTTTCACAGCTTAGGCTACTGTGTAGGATTGAATGAAAAAGCTGCAGAAAATGGAAGGCAGTTGTTGCCTTCACTTTCCTACAAAGCTTCTCCAGAAGGATCACCTCCATCCTCATGAGGTCTGAAATGGTGAATTGATATTGGCTGATTCTGATTAAGTCAGTGGCTAGTGGAACATTTCTCTCTTCTTGGGTCACTTTCACAGCTAAGTAGAAGCAACTTAGCCCAACACATCCCAAGTGTTTCGGCTGCACCTAGAAGATAAAGGGAGACAAGAGCTGAAGATTTTTTCAAGGACAACTATGTGCAACTTTGACTGTTTTACAATATGTCACATCTCCAAAAACAGATTCCTAGAGTTAATTCCACTAAATGCAATACAAATTTTGATTCAATTCCATAGGATTGTCAAAGCACAGCAGTTTCTTTTTATAAATAGTCTGGTTCTGGCTTCTTGAAACACTATGTGCTGGGCAGAACCATCTTTGCCAGCAGTTTAAATAATTTCATAGTCTTCATATGTGGCCCCGGAAGGCCAACACACACCGACAGAGGTATCCTTCACATAAAATCCCTTTATTCTTTTTTCCAAGAACACAATGCAATCTGGTAATTTACAGTAGGTACTAATTATACACCAAGAGGCAAGCTGCTCACATACAACCAGGTTTTTCAACAGGACATCTATCACAAAGTCTACCCTCCAGTTTTATGCCAAGATAGATGGTCACACTAAAAGTCAAATGCAGCATCATTTGAGGCTGAAGTGATTTGAAGCAGTTCACCCAGGTTCCCACTTTGATCCCTTCATACTTTAAAGGAAAAGGCATACAAAAATACTCAGCAGTAGTTGACATGTGAGCTGAAATCAAGCACTGCCACACAATATGCCAACTTCTAGAGTTATCTGTTTGGACATTTTCACTGTCGTCAGCTCTTCATCCACTGTCTCTTTAGTGTTGGAAATTGTCCAAATGGCCTTTTTAGGAGGCCTGTGATTATCTGCTGCATAGCCTGTAACCAAGAATGGCCTTTTCAGCTCTCCATTTCCACTGCTATGCCAGTGCTAGCACTGTAGTGATCCAGGATTATGGGAGTTGTAATCTAAAGTATCTGAAAAGTGAAAGGTTTTCCACTTCTGCTGCAATGCATCTTCCTCTTGAACAAAGAGATGTTAAAATGCAAATTGAAATGCTGGTCCACAAAACCATTATGAAGGTTACCAAAAATTCTTGACCCCATATACCCTTCCAGGTCAGACAGCAAATGAACCCCTGAGCCATTTGTGATGACAGAAATCCCAAATCAAAGTTGGTGCACACTCTACTCAATAATGTGCATTTTTGTGTTCAAAATCAAGCTGTACTTGGATACCTGTTTTCAAGAAAACTAGAAGCACAATTTTTCAGACACTGTACTTTACTACCGGGACTGTGGCGCAGCTGGCTGAGAGTGAGCTGCATTAAGACCACTATTGACCAAAAGGTCATGAGTTCGAAGCCAGCCCGGGTCGGAGTGAGCTTCTGACCAATTGTGTAGCTTGTTGTCAACCTCTGCAACCCGAAAGACAGTTGCATCTGTCAAGTAGGAAAATTTAGGTACCACTTAAATGTGGGGAGGCTAATTTAACTAATTTAATCTCCAAAAAGCATGCGGGAAACAAGGAAATACTTCACCAGTGTCGCAGATGGATGGTGACGGTGAAGCGACAGCTCCCCTGGTGGCCAGAAAAAGTTGGAATGTTAAATAGCCTCTTACTGTCTATCTATATGGCACTGAATGTTTGCAATGTATATGTACATTATAATCTGCCCTGAGTCCCCTGCGGGGTGAGAAGAGTGGAATATAAATACTATAAATAAATAAATAAATTTACTAGTGCTTCATGGGGAATTTATCCAACACTTCTTGAAAGAGACAGAGGACATAGTTTTGAAAAAGCCAAGCCTTGATTCCAGTTAATAGGATTGATTTACACAGCACAACTGCACGCAAGATATATCAACACTGCGTTGAATGCAAGTCTCCCTGGCAGCTGAAGTCTTAGAAACCCATATATTTCAGAAGCCTTACACAGAGGCGGCGATAAATTGGCTTATAACTTAGTAATCTGAAGACCTACCTTCATTTTTGATAAAAACCTGTCCAAGAAATTCACAGCAAGAGAAAATGTCTCTGTACCAAAGCCAAAGAACTGAGTTAAACTAAGGAGATCCTTCACTTCAAAGTCTCTCAATCTCACAGTCATTCGAAGCCCGTTATCATGAGCAGATTCAATTATTCTTAGGCCAGAAAACTTTGGCTGACATCTTAACTCCTGTTCCAGTAACACATTCAGCTGATGCAGCAGTTCTTGAGCTTCACTTGTGGCAAATGTTTCGATCATCTGAAATACAAGACTTGGTTTAGAATAAATGCCTACAGCAAAGCATGTACATGTCAAGCCGCATGAGAATCATATTCAATCCCACAATCAAGTTTCAAGGCAACTGACAAGAGACTACAGCAACCATTCTGCAAACCTATTCCCTCCAGATATGCCAGGCTACAATCCCCATTATCCCCAGCCAGTATGGCTCTTGTTTGAGGGTGTTGGGGCCATGGTCCAACATATATGCAGCAGAGCATCAATACTGTAGAGCTAGAATGGTAACCATATGGACCCCAGATGTTGTTAGAGAGCATCTCCCAATATCCCTAATCAGTGCTCAGGAATGCTGGGAGCTGCAACTCAACAGGAGGAAAGAAAAAGATTTGTGTTCTTACTGTACAGATGTCACCCAAAGGTCATAATACCTGTTTTATTGGGTTTCCAGACTTGCTTTCCAAAGCCACAGTGACCAAGATAATATAAAAGATAGGAGTGAAAAGACAACTGATAAAAGTTCATTGGTGAACTGGCAACAGCCTTTAAATAGCACCAACATTCAGTTGGTGCAGCTTTTGTGGATGGCTAGAAAGTACATGGGTGCTGTAGAATTGATGCATTTTGACTCAATTTTAATTGTGATGGTCCAATGCTATGAAACCAAGAGAGCTGTAGTTTTACAAGGCCTTTAGTCTTCTCTGCCAAATAGCTCAATGTAATGAAATCACGGGTGTTAAGTTTGATGACACTTCTCTGCATCAAACTTCAACCCCTACGATTTCATTACATTGAGCTATGACACTTAAAATAGTGAACTGCATTAACTCTACAGGGTAGATACGCTCGAAGGACAGAAGTAACCATTCTAATGGCCTTGCCTCAAACAATTCTAGCACGTGCTCAGAAATGGCTTCCATGTTAAGTATTACAATGGCGTCCTAAACTTTTATTTGTAATGCAGCCTCCAAGAGTTTTCTATCAAAGGGTCACTCTGTGACAAATGGGTTATATGGCTTCAAAATTTCAAGGACTGTGAAGAGTGCTCACATCATAATCTACGCAACTGTGGAGCTATAATTCTACTTTTATTACCTTTCTTACTTTAACTACCAAGGCAACCTTCTAAAATCATCTTTAAGATCGTCTGGGGAAGCTCTGCTTTCGATCCCGCCTTATTCATAGGCATGTCTGGCGGGGACAAGAGACAGGGCCTTCTCAGCGGTGGCCCCTTGGCTATGACACTCCCTCCCTAGGGATATTAAATCGGCCCCCTCCCTCTTGACCTTCTAGAAAAAAGTAAAAACTTGGCTCTTTGAATAGATTTTTGGAAATGCAGGGCAATAGACAAATATGGAATTATGTAAGTTTGAAACCTGGAACAGCTTAGACGATGCTACTGGAAAATGTGATTAACAGGAAGACATTGGGTATTTTTGTTTTTAATAGTTTTGAAGCTATGAAAATCAGTCCACCTTACTTTGCCCAGCAGAAGCACCATCCCATGTGCATTGCTGTTGAAGGGCACGTTGTGAGTAAGTTAAACTAATGGTAATAAAGGATAAGCAAAAGAGTCGGACACGACTGGACTTAATGTCAGGGGAAAACCTTTACCTTTACATAACCTATTTATAGGATTTGCTGTCAGGACTCCTTCCACTTGTTGAACTGGATTCCAATTTTTGGGCCTGGAGATTCTGCTCCTGTGGGTGCCCAACTCAAAAGTCTGAGTGCGTCTATACAAGGCATCCTCCAACTGCGGCCCTCCAGCTGTTTGGGCCTCCAACTCCCAGAAGCCCTAACGAGTTTGTTCAATTGTCAGGGATTCTGGGAGTTGAAGGCCCAAACAGCTGGAGGGCCACAGTTGGAGGATGCCTGGTCTACACTGTAGAGTCAATGCAGTTTGACACCACTTTAACTGCCATGGAATCCTGAGAGCTGTAGTTTGGTGAAGCACCAGCCCTCTTTGGCAGAGAAGGCCAAGGGCCTTGGAAAACGACATCCCCCGGGATGCCATCGCACTGAGCCATGGCAGTGGAAGTGGTGTCAAACTGCGCTAATCCTGCAGTGTAGAAGATGCACGCCTGCGGCCCAAGGCGAGCAAAGACATGCCCGGACTTGCCCTCCTGGCCTTTCCTCCGCGCTGGAGGCCCCTAGACGACCCACAAACCTTCCTTATATCCCACAAAAGTAGAAAAAACAGCAGTGAATTGCAAAAAGATGGGTAGTTTCCAGAATTAAGAATAAATTAATTTAAATTAAATGAAAATGAATACAGGAGTAGCACACACACTGTACTAATAATCTATATTACAGACAAACAAACCAGTTCACCTTGAGTCTCCTTTTCCAAGCAACGCAGGAGAAGAGTTGTCCTCTCGCTGGCAGGACTTCCCCGCCCTTCCAAAGTTACTCCTTCTTCTCTTGCCCATTCCAGCTCAATCTAGTCGCCGACCCGCAAGCTCCGCCCCCTGGCTTGTAGCACCGCCCCCATTGGCTGATTGCGCTCCATACGTCAGAGGCGAATCCTCAAATTCTCCGGCAGTGGCTTCAAAGGGAGAGCGGGATCATAGAGGAAAGGGGAGGTTGCGAATTAACAACGCCCTCTAACTTCTGGCTCTTAATCGATGCTTCTAACTGCTTCTGTTCTAATGGTAGGATCGCAATGCGCATGCGTCTGCCACTTCAATTTTGAGGCGCTCGTTTTGACATGCAAAACAACTCCTGAAGACTATAAGCGCATCTATATTGTAGAATAAATGCAGTTTGACACCACATTACCGCCATGACTCCCTGCCATGGAATCCTGGGAGTTGTAGTTTGGTGAAGAACCAGCACTCTGTGGCAGAGAAAGCTAGAAACCTTACAAAACTACAACTCCCAGGATTCCGTTGTATTGAGCCATCACAGTTAAAGTGGTATCAAACTACATTCAGTGTAGTATCTAAGGCTTTCATGGCCGGAATCACTGGGTTTCTGTGAGTTTTCCGAGCTGTATGGCCATGTTCCAGTAGCATTCTCTCCTGACATTTCGCCCGCATCTGTGGCTAGCATTTTCAGTGGTTCTGTTGGCAATGAGGCAAGTGGAGTGCCTGTTTAACGAAAGTATAAACAGAGAAGGGCTATTTCTCCCACCCTGGACATTCCACAGGTATGCATACACTCCTCTTGTCTCACTGCCAACAGACCTCTGAAGATGCTAGCCACAGAAGCAGGCGAAAGGTCAGGAGAGAATGCTACTTGAACAGCCCAGAAAACGCACAGCAAGCAAACGTTTACTGTGTGGCTGAACCCTGTGTTTTGCTTTCCAGTCGCCTATTTACATATTAACAGCTTGTTTGAGAAAAAAAGGTTTCCAGCAAAAGGAGAGCAGGGAAGGGGCCAGCCTGCCCCCCATGGAAGGGAGTTAGTTCATCCCTGAAAAGGCTCCTTCCTGTGTCCTCACCAAATAGATCTGTGGTGCCAATGAGACGTAAAGCTATCAGTTTTATATAGGGCAATGTTTCTCAACATGGGGGTCAGGACCCCTGGGGAAGTTGCAAAGCGGGGTGTCAGAGGATTGCAAAAGACCATTCAAAAACATATACTGTATATCTGATGGTCTTAGGAACACAGTGCTCTCCGGAGTTAGGTGAAATACATCTCCCCTAAATCACTGTCAATTCCAACCAAATCACTCCAGTATTTTCTGTTGGTCATGGTGGTTGTGTGTGGGAAGTTTGGCCCAATTCTATCATTGATGGGGTTCAGGGGGCTCTTTGATTGTAGGTGAACTATAAATCCCAGCAACTACAACCAGGGCCGTAGCCAGAAATTTTTTTTGGGGAGGGTTGAAAATTTCGGGGGGGGGGGGGGGTTTGAACTTTTGGGGGGGTAGGGTCACGCTGAAACAAAGAGCACAACCTCTCCCCCCCCAGCTACAGGCCTGACTACAACTCTGAAATGCCAAGGCCTATTTTCTCCATACTCCACCAGTGTTTACATTTGGGCATATTGAGTAATCATGTCAAGTTTGGTCCAGATCTATCATTGTTTGAGTCCACAGTGCCCTCTGTGCCCACCAAACTCTTCCAGCATTTTCTGTTGGTCATGGGAGTTCTGTGTGCCAAGTTTGGTTCAATTCCATCATTGACGGAGTTCAGAATGTTCTTTGATCGTAGGTGAACTATAAATCCCAGCAACTACAACTCCCATGCGACAAAATCAAACCCCTCCCCAACTCCACCAGTATTCAAATTTGGGTGTATCAGGTATTTGTGCCAAATTTGGTCCAGTGAATAAAAATACATCCTGCATGTAATGTAATATTTACATTACAATTCATAACAGTAGCAAAATTACAGTTATGCAGTAGTAATAAAATAATTTTATGGTTGGGGGTCACCATAACATGAGGAACTATGTTAAGGGGTCGCAGCATTAGGAAGGTTGAGAAACACTGTTATAGGGAGATCCAGTCTTTCAAATCAACTGAACCTAAGAGTTATAAGGCTTTGTGGGTCATGTCCAGCATTTTTAATTGTGCCTTTCACCTGACCAGGAGCACCTCTGTCTTCCATGGATTACGTTTCAACTTGCCAGCTCTTTTTGTTGTTGTTTATTCGTTCAGTTGCTTCCAACTCTTCGTGACCTCATGGACCAGCCCATGCTAGAGCTCCCTGTTGGCCGTGGCCACTCCCAGCTCCTTCAGAGTCAAGCCAGTCACTTCAAGGATACCATCCATCTTGCCCTTGGTTGGCCCCTCTTCCTTTTTCCTTCCATTTTCCCCAGCATCATTGTCTTCTCTAAGCTTTCCTTTCTTCTCATGATATGGCCAAAGTACTTCATCTTGGCCTCTACTATCCTTCCCTCCAATGAGCAGCTGGGTTTTATTTCCTGGAGGATGGACTGGTTGGATCTTCTCGCAGTCCAAGGCACTCTCAGAACTTTCCTCCAACACCACAGCTCAAAAGCATCTATCTTCCTTTGCTCAGCCTTTCCTATGGTCCAGCTCTCACATCTGTAGGTTACTATGGGGAATACCATTGGTTTAACTATGCAGATCTTCGTTGTCAGTGTGATGTCCCTACTCTTCACTATTTTATCGAGATTGGTCATTGCTCTCCTCCCAAGAAGTAAGCGTCTTCTGATTTCCTGGCTGCAGTCTGCGCGTGCAGTAATCTTTGCACCTGAAAATACAAAGTCTGTCACTGGCCCCACATTTTCTCCCTCTATTTGCCAGTTATCAATCAGTCCAGTTGCCAGAATCTTGGTTTTTTTATGTTTAACTGCAACCCAGCTTTTGCACTTTCTTCTTTCACTTTGATTAGAAGGCTCCTCAGCTCCTCCTTGCTTTCAGCCATCAAAGTGGTATCATCTGCATATCTAATGTTGCTAATGTTTCTTCCAGCAATTTTACCCTAGCCTTGCATTCATCAAGCCCTGCACATTGCATGATGTGTTCTGCATACAAGTTGAATAGGTTGGGTGAGAGTATACAACCCTGCCGTACGCCTTTCCCAATCTTGAACCAGTCTGTTGTTCCATGGTCAGTTCTTACTGTTGCTAATTGGTTGGCTCTTATCTAGTCCATTAATGACAACAGACATTTGTTCAGAACCTTGGAACGTGCAGGGGAAAAAGAGAGGGTGAGTTGGTATATTCAACACACTGGTGACACTGAAATCCAAAACTTTGGATAACATCTCCCAGCTCTTTCATGTAGATGATGTTAAACAGCACAGGGGACAAAACCAAACCAGGAGGAACTCCACAAGTAATAATAATACACTTTGTATTGAAGAAGGCTTTCATGGCTAGAATCACTGGGTTGTTATAGGTTTTTTGGGCTATATGGCCATGTTCTAGAAGCATTCTCTCCTGAAATTTCACCTGCATCTATGGCAAGCATCCAGTGTGTAACTTTCCAAAGGTCACCCAGTGGGTTTATATGGCCAAGTGAGGATTTGAACCCTGGTTTCCAGAGTTGCAGTGCAATGCTCATGCTACCTCTGGTGGTACATACAGTAAAGTCTTGCTTATCCAACATAAACAGGCCAGCAGAACACTGGATATGTGAAAATGTTGGATAATCAGGAGAGATTAAGGAAAAGCCTATTAAACATCAAATTACGTTATCATTTTACAAACTGAGCACCAAAACATCATATTTTACAACAAATTGACAGAAAAAGCAGTTCAGTACATGGTAACATTATGTAGTAATTACTGTATGTATGAATTTAGCACCAAAACATTGCAATGTATTGAAACAGCTGTGGGAGGCCGACTGCGTTGGATAATACAGAATGCTGGATGAGTGGAGGTTGGATAAGCGAGACTCTATTGTACTTCTGAGCAAAAATGCACAGCGTTGTCCTGCTAGCACTCTGAAACATTTGGAGAACCAAAGAAGGCAGTCACTGGAAGTTGAACTTCTTTTTGCAGCTATAACTGGCATCTTGTGAAGGCATTTGGTTCAGCAAAATATGAAAGAATGCTGACAGCGCATACTCTATTACAGACTGTGGTTCATTAGGGTTAAGCCGTAATTTCCCTCTTTGGAAGAGAATGACAGTTTCTTAGCAGTGCTCTGAAAATGAGGATTGGCTAATAAGTTAAAAATGGATATAATCAAACAGCTGCAGTCTTAAAGTAGCAATTCTGTAACTAGCAGCTGTGATTGCATATAATTCTGTCTTTCAGCTGTTAAACACCATTTACGGCAGCTTTTCTTATGCCTCCAAGAACACCATTTGCATTGAAGGAGACTAGAATCGAGCACAATTAAGTTATCCATTTTACTTCCTGAACTGAATTTTGCCACAGACAGTCATGTGTGCACATGCATGCGCACAGAGGGCAACAGTTGGGCCAATTAAGTAAAATAAAAGAGAGTATTATCATTAGGTTTTATTGGTAATGGGCACAGCCCTTTGAGTAGTTGTCTTGGAGAAGCTCCATTGTAATGAATGAGAAAGTGTTCTTGTGCATGAACCGCCCAAGGCATTTTGCTGCTTGAAGCAGAACAAAAAATGACATCCCCAAGTCAAGCTTTTAAGGTAGAACGCCTCACAAGCATCTCTCTCTTGTTCTTGCAACATAACCTCCAGCACTGCCCAAATAAAGCATGTGGTCAAGCAATATTAGAATTGTGGTCACTATGGCAGAAAAGTTATGGTCAAGGAAGTTAACACACATGTTTATTTATTATTTATTTATTTACCCTATTTATACCCCACTTTTCTCTACCCCAAGGGGGACTCAGGGTGGCTTACATATGGCAATGCCTTAATTCCTTAAACACATATAAACATTAAGCTTAAAATCCATTGGATTAAAAGTAATACATATAAAACATTTAAAATTATATTCAATATTAAAACACGCCATCCAAAAGCAGTAATCAAAGGCTATTCCGTAGTCATTACACATATTCCAATTTTATTATTGCACTGCTTCTTGAAAAGCCTGACCCCACAGCCAGGTTGTTACTGTCTTTATGAAGGCCAGGATGGAGGGGGCCGATCTACTGTCCCTAGGGAGGGAGTTCCACAGCCAAG